GAGTTTCTACTTTTTTGGGTCGGTCCAAAAGCTAAAAAAAGATCTAACGTACAAAGAACAAACCTGCAAAGGGCAGGCAAAATTGCAGAGTATTTCTGGCCACTAAAAATCAAAGCCGTACATAACCATTGTACAAGAATCATTCCATTTTTACATACTGAAATATGTTTCATTCATGCCTTCCACACAACAATCAATCAGGTCCAATAAATTACATAACATTTCACATCTATTTTTTACCCTTCGAAAATCATTAATAAAAAAACAAATATTTCTCTAGCTGGAGTAATCCGGAGGCAAAGCTGAATCAGATCTAGATTCCACAGTCATAGTCAACGAAGTTACTTATAAAAACCGAAACCCAATATTTCTTCAGTTTGAAAAAAAATGGTATATTATTATCATATTTCAATATCAATAATTGAGACTCTCGTCATAATTATGGGTCATGAAGATATATATGGACGACGAAAACTATTATTGCAAGAAAGTAAATTTAAATAAACTAATATCCACAAAACTTTTCAGGAATTTATGAATCTGAATACTGAATACTCAGAATCCAAGATTAAACAAAGAAAATTATGAATTTTATTTCTACCTCGTCCTAATCGTCAGATCCATAAGAGGAAATAATTCAGATTTTTGGTTACCTCTACAGGGCTAAGCCTTCTGATGAAGAACATATCAGCAGTTTCAGGGACACCATTAAAATTCCTTCCGATCTTCCTACAAGCTCCAGAATCTCTAATACACGAGCTGATTTTTCCCCAATACCCATCATCAGAGACCCGATCTTTCAACCAACCGGAATAATCCTGAAGATAATAGTCGAGATAACCCCGGTTAAGCATGGTCCGACCGGATCCTTTATCGGTGACGGCGTAAGCGAAGATGATGAAACCGATTAAGGCGGCGATGATTAAGAGCATCACGACTAGGTATAGCCACATGAGGAACTTGTTCCGGTAACAAGCTCCGGCGAATCCGGCGAGTGATACGACCATGATTGAGATTCCGATGACGATGAGTGGCCACTGGAGGAATCTTAAACAGTCGGTTGAGTTTGCTCGGCTGCTCAGCCATATTCCACCGCCGAGGATTGGGATCGATAGTAAGAAGGTGAGGAAGTTGACCAGACCTATCACATGGTTGCTCGTCCTCATCGATTTGG